TGCCTATTTGTTCATTGAAGCACTTGACTGTTTGTATGAAACGACTAAAGTAGTATGACACATGCAGTGGGGAAAAAACCGCAAATTGTCTCCTCGATTGATTGATGGTAAGTAAAGATCGGATCCGAACAGGCGGTCAGTTACAAGACCAGTAGTAAACAGGATATATTCTCGATGCACCACACGGTGCCATTGTTTAGTTCTTAGTCGTTATGTACTATTTGGTATCATAGAGCCCTAGTTACAAACAGATCCCATCAAATAAAGAACGTATCAGTGGTCTTCAACCGATTGTAACACCGTTTGCGGATATCCGTCCTCAGATACTCCAGTGAGCCATGTACTGCAATAGCTTTCAATTCGACATTTGTCTTGTTTCTAGCTCATGAGTAGCGTATGCGACCAGTTTGTACTACCGGGTTGAAGCCTGATATGGAGAGCGTTCATGTGGTGTGGCTTCATCCTGCCAAGCGGATTATGTTCGAACATCGCAGGTAGCGATATTTCGCCAAGAGGTGCGACCAGTTCCATCCAATCGTATTTATCTGATTCAATCAGGTATGAGAGACGTTTAGATTGTTTTTAATGCGGCAATAACCCTAACCGTTGTATTTATTATTATTCGTACATCACTTACTTATGTGGAAAGATTGTAATCATTTGAGTTGTATGCCACACAGTATCACTGAATTTGCGGTGGACTTGATTTCGGTGTATCAAACCCTGATCCATCCATTTTGTCCATTGCTTACCTTGTATTTCAACGCTGACCTCGGGCAGCACTCATTCAAATTAGTACTCCAAAACTGCGGACTAAATGTTGTGGCGTGATTGATTTGCCCTCAGTGTGTGAAGCATTCTGACTGCTCTTCCACCTCGTATTGTTTTGTGTGTGCTCACCAATGATTCTTTAAAGCACAAACTGAATGAAGCATTGAGAAGTCTTAAATTTCCACATTCTTAGCAGTACGCGAAACAAAGACAATTTGTGACATTCCTCATCTTTCTGTGAACTGTAAATCAATCCATTTGTGTTGAAAGCTATGAGACAGGGAAAGCAACCAAAACTTTAGAAGATATTTTTAACCAAATTGTAAAAGATGTATCGTTTGTGATCTGTTCCCAAGTGGTGAAAATGTCAACCGTGGTGAGTTAGCCAATAGGAGCCTGATCTTTAGTCACCAATCTACCAAAATGGCTACGAATTACAAACACCCAGAGGGACTGTTTGGGTGTTTGCTAAGAAACTGTGATTATGTATCGTGGTGAGGTCACTGAACTAAATTCGCCAATAAGCAATTAGTTTGGCCCTGAAAGAATTATAGAAACCTTAAACTGTTACGCAAAAAGTAAAGTAATGTGATGTGCCAGTCCTTAGTGTGATACACTGAACATCTTGGTCAAATGAACTGAAGATCGGTAACTGAAAGCCAACGTTTACCAAAGGTCAATCCACGCGGATCAGATGCTGCACTTTCAAAGCACACCGGAACAGTTGCTTGCAAACAATTTTCAAATGAGCCCAAACGCCCTTCATGTTGAAATTTAAAAAGCTGCGCTTCCCCAAAATCAGACAGATGATGTTACCAACAAGCCTGACCAAGGAATGTCTGCAAGCAACACTTCCAGCTCGAAAAGAACATCGAAGCCCGCATCATGTCTCCCTATGTCATGTGTATATGGACAAACCGAATGGTTCTTCATTGAAATGAGGAACTCCATTACTCTCAAATATCTTCTCCGAAATAGGCACATTGTCCGAGTTGGCCTCCAGAAACCAGGGTACACTATGCTTTGCAGTAAAATCAAAATTTGAAAACCCTGTGGTATGAATAGTATTGTGTTTCAATCAGTTTGTAGTTGTTCACCGATTGTTCAGTCTGTAATGGATGCATGATTCAAGTGTGTGTGTGTGTGTGTGTGCCTCGGTAGTATGCCGAACCGACCGCAATCTGAGTCCACTCGAAACACAGTGGCAGGAGGTTGACTCTGAGCAACGCCAGCTGGGTTCTTAACCTCGTCCCAAAATGCCGCACCCAACCCCGACACTCTCAATGCACATATGGGACACACTCCCGTAACCTGCAAACCAGGATGTACCGGAATGACATTCGATGATATGGTGACTCGCAGATACCGAAACCCAAATCCACGACAGAACAGAAAGCTGCGAAATCTACGTGTACTGTTGGATAATCAATTATGAATTAATGGAAATACAACGGTATATCTCAACCCGATCTGGACAAAACAATCGGTTCTACACGACAAGGGCAAAAGTGCCAGGAAAACACTCTCTTGGAAATCGGAGTAGGAATGTGATGTGGATATAACGACAGTGCTATTTAAAGGACGGTGAGGACCAATCACAGAGATGGGATAGCGAAGTGACACCAAAGGTGGGTGTAGGCGACAGGTGGCAACCGTAATCACGGGGTAAGCGAGGGAACAGACAACGGACACGTAGGGGTGTCTAGTCAGGCACACAAGAAATAACTGT